CCCTGCCCCGCGCAGTGACGTCAGCGCCTTTGATCGCGTGACGTCACGGGACGCGTGACGTCACCCCCGCGTGCCCGTCCCCGGCAGGTCCCCCCGCAGCCCGGGCGTTCCGGCCGGGCCGGTGTTTCCGGGGAAGGCGGCGGCGGCGCTTCCGGCGCGGCGGGAGGAAGTGACGGCGGGTTTGTTGACAGCGGAGGCCGCGGCGGGGGGAGCGGGGCCGAGCAGGACGCGGAGCCCGCCCCGGGCACCGGGACCAGCCCCCCCATGGCGCCAGGTGAGTGCCGTCGGGGCCCTTCGCAGCCCGGCCAGAGGGCACCGGGCCCGCCCGCCTGGACGGGGGGAGGATCCGCCGTCCCCGGCAGCGCCGTGCGGAGCCCCCCGGCGCTGCCCCATCCCCTCCCCAGGACTGCGGGGTTCCGCCAGGCAGCGCCCCGCGCCGCGGCGGCAGCGCCGGCGCAGCCCCCGGGGTGACCTCTGGGTCTTGTCCCCTGTCGGAGGGCTCGGGCTCGGGGCCAGCCCTGCCCGCGGCTACTGCGAGCGCTCGCAGGGCTGTCAGAGCCTATCGCGGGCTGGCGGAGCCCCTGCGCCCAGGGAGCCGTGAGCGGGGGCACCCGGGTGTCCTCTTGGGAAGGTGACTTATAGGATGGAAATCCGTGGTGTAATTCAGGGAACCGAAGGAGCATCTTTGCTGCGGGCAGGTACAAAGATCAACACATTCCCCGAGCTGTCTCGTTTATGGTGTCAGTCGTGGCAGGCTGACAAGTTTGGGAATTGCAGGCTGTGCTGGGTTACAGAACAGTTCGATCTCCTCCTGCTTCCCTTCCCCCGGTGTGAGCAGGGATGGGGTTTCCCCACACGAGTTGCCACGGCCCATCCATTAACACAATCCCAGTGATTTGCAGCTGCAGGACGCCAGCAAAGGTGACAGTGCACTTTCCCCTCGGAGCGTAACCTGTGCCAAACTCTGCATTTACGTGACATTCGTTATTCTGGAGTCACTGCAATCACTCATGTCAGTGCACAGTGTTTGCCCTCTCCTTGGACAGGTCCCTGATGCTGGAAAAGTCAGCTTTGCCAATTATTTCTGTAGCAGCAGCAGCATAAACGTTCTGTGGTTGGCACAGAGCCAGAGTGAGTCAGGCTTGGCTCTGGGCACTGCCTGGAGAGAGGCTGGGAGAGAGGATTGGTCTGGAGTCCAGGGGAGAGGATATTGGCACCAGCAGCCCCAAGAGTGCCAGGGGCTCATGTGCCAGTGCAGCCTGGAATGCTGTCACCATTCAGGTGCAGCCTGAAAATAGGCAATACTTGCAAAGAGACTGGTGAGACCTGGTGATGGGGTGAGTGGAGCTGCCTGTGCTGTGGCTGGTTTTGGGCCTGTGGATGGTGGGAGGGGGCTGTGGCTGCAGGGAGAGGGCTGTGTGCCCATGGAAATGGCTTTTGTGTGCCTGCTCCTGCAGCTCTGAGGGACTCGATTCCTTCATGCACTGACATGGAGGTAAATTTGTTCGAGAAATAAATATTGGCACTGTAGTTCTGGTCAGTTTGCAGTTGGTGCTCTTGAATTTTCAGCATCTTTCATGTGTCTTTGACTCTTCCAAAGCACACGTGCACCAGGCAGCTCGTTGCTCGTCCTTGGAAGGCACTGGTGGCTGTCACTGGGCAGCTTGATCCTATAGAGAGCTGCTCGAGGATAACAATCAGACAAACGTTAGTCATTTATCAGCATCTCCAGTTTGTTTCTTTGTGTCACACACGAAGGTTGTAACTGGAGACAATATTGATCAGGGCAGCTACTGACACTTAATTCCCCCTCCCCCTGCCGACATGTCACGTCTTGGGTCTAAGTGAGGAGGGAGAGCCCAGCTTGTGTCTTGTCCTGGACAAAAGGTCACAGCAGCTGCTCAGATATCCATAATAAATCATGAAGATGAAAGCTTTTCTTTGGTCTTATTTCACTGGGACAGATTAACCGCTCTTCTTTCTGTTGAACTTCTGTCTGGGATTGTGTTGGTGGATCACGGGGAGCTCAGAAGTTAAAGGGCAGCTGATTTCTCCAGGGCTGGGATCAACTGGCTGCATTGTGCTGGTCTCAGCAGAGAGGGAACAGAGGCTGGGCAGAGCCACAGGAAGGCAGTCCTTGCCCTCTGGTGCTCTGAGCTGCTTGGACAAGTCCCAAGCACTGGCCGTTTCCAGCTGCACGTGACAATGGATTGTCAATGGGAATTTGTTTTCGAGTTCTCTGGCCATCGGTAGTAAACAGTGGAAGAACACTGGCTGCAGGGACCTTCTGTCTGATGGCACAGGGGAACTGGTAGGGACAGCAGAACGTGCTTCCCAACTGGTTCAGATCTTCCTGTTGATCTTGCCTTTCTGGAAAGATTCTCTCAGGCTTGAGGCAAAATCTGCGAGAGGGACTCGTTCTGGAGGTGAGGCTGATTCATCTCCAAAGCAGGAACAAGGCAGCTGCCTCCCACCTGCATTCCCCTGGCCAGGACCTCCCAGCCAGAGAGAAGATACTCTGCACTCAGTGGCCCATTTCAGCCTTGACTTCTCTCCTGACTTGGCTACAAAGGAGAGAATCGTGGATTATGGAGCTCCTTCTGTTTAAAAGCTGCAGACCCTCCATTTTCATGGTTGGGACCATATGAACCTCCAGTGTCTCTGAGCTGCCATGGCACTATTGAGAACTCACAATTTTATGTTCTTGTGACCCCATCTCAAGACTCGGTGACACAGAAGAGTAGGTTACACCCTTAACATCCTGACTGGAGAGAGTTTAAAGTACAATTTTTGGGATTGCTGAGGTTTTGGGTTTGTTTTTTCTTTTCCTCAGCATCTGCTTTTGCCTGGAGAGGTTTTACATTTTGAGCCAACACCAGCAGAGAACCTGAGATCCCCCCCTGGAAAAGCTGCTAAATCTTGTAGGTCAGAACACAGAAAAAGAATTAATGAATGGCAGGAGGAAGGAAAAAAAGAGGTTTGAGTTCCAACTTGTGGTGCCTTCATGTTTCCATGGAAATCCCTTCTGCAGGACAGGGAGGGATCAGAGAGAGCTTGGGCTGCCGGGCAGGCTCAGTCACAGCTGTGCTCCTGGAGACCCTTTGGTGCCTGAATTTGAAGGGTTTCCTTGTCCACAGCCTTGACTTTGTATGGGCATCATCACCCAGGTAGGGGCTGAACAGCATCTGAAAAGGGCAGAGAGAAGGTGCCTGATCCAGCCCAGTGCCCTTGTCATTAGGCTGAGGAAAGGGAGTTAAACTCTTCTGCCTTGTACTGATACTGCAGGACTGGCGGAAAGGGAGAGCAGCAGAGGCTTTAGGGAGACACAGAGAAGTGTCCTGATCTTTGCAGCTGCAGGATAAAGATGAGAAATGCAATATGGTTAAGGACATTTTGCAAAAACTTCCCCAGCAGTGGCTGCTCAGCTGTGGCACAGAGAACAGCAACTGCCCCACAGCACTGGTGTTCTTGCTGCCAGCAGGGACAGACTGATGGATAAGACAGGTTTTACATCAAAAATAAACATTTCAACAATATTTTTGTGTCTGGAAATCTTTAGAGAAGTTCACATTAGGATTGCTTCTAACCTGATTTGACCCTTTGGAAGTAAAATGTCATTGCTGGTGTTCAAATTAACACTTCTGCTAAACACCTCAGGGCTTCAGTGAGCAAATCTTGATACCAGAGCTGTCAGATTTTGTCAAACAAATAAACAGACAGTGATACCTTCCCTGAGTTCAGGTGTCCAGCATGTGCATAAACTTACACATGCTGAGTTGCCTTACACTGTACTCAGAGGGATCCCAGACCAGTCCATGTGTTTGCCTCTGGCTTCTGATCCACTTCACAGTCTAGTTCAAAGGCTTTCATGAAGCTTCTGCCTTGGCACTGCAGGGAAACATTCAGCTTGAAAACGGAACTTGCCTTGGAGTGGTGGCAAACAGAATTACAGGCAGGAGATACAGGGTCAGCTGATCCCACTGGGGCCACACAGAGGCCACACAGAGGATTATCCCGACAGCAAATGTTCTGCTGGTTTATCCAACCCACTCTGAAGGAAACCAAGCAATGTGGCTTCTGCCACTTCCCTTTCCCAGGGCCTTTGTCACCAGATAATCTGCAAGGAGGAAACATTTGGCTGTGCAGCCTCATTTCCAAACACTTTCACATTAACTCATCCTTGGGGGTGGAGATACCAAGGAATTACAGTCACACTGCCAGAGAGGCCAAACTGCCGCAGGTCTTTTTGAGGCCCAGGGCTGTAAACACAAGTCCCAACATCCTGGGACGCTGGTCGGGACGTTTGGATTTGCGCCTTTCTCAAAGCATCTCTTTTCCCTCTGCTTCCAGCTGCCCTGATGTCCCTGTAAATCCATCCTGGAACTTCATCTGAGGAAAGGATCTCCTGAATCAAAAGCTTCCTCCTGCTCTTCCCCTTCCCATAACTTCCCTCAGGATGGCATCCGACAGCCCCGAGTCGCTGATGACCCTGTGCACCGACTTCTGCCTTCGCAACTTGGAGGGGACCCTCTGCTACCTCCTGGACAACGAAACGCTCCGGCTCCACCCTGACATCTTCCTGCCCAGCGAGATCTGTGACAAACTTGTCAATGAGTACGTTTTAGGCCTGGCTTTGGGAAGCTTTGCCTGGTTTGAGGAGCTGGGAGCTCAGGGAAAGGGGTGTATAGTTCTCCAAAAAGAATGAAAGGGGAAGAAATCATAGAGCTGTTTTTCCAATTGATCCTCATCTT